CTCTACTGACTCTCAGAAACTATTTTCAACATTCAAAACTCTGCTCAACCCTCCGTCTCCACTTCCAACCAACAATCTATCAGCTGACACCTTTGCCTCATTCTTCAATGACAAAGTGGCAGTTATGAGCAAACAGTTTACTCAACTGGCCATGCCTGAACATTCGCTACCACAAACTCCTTCCAGCCCAACCATCTCAAGCCCTACTGCTTCATTTTCCTCTTTTTCTCCTCTCTTTGAGAACTGTGTGTCCAAGCTTCTCACGTGCAGCATGCCCACTTGGCCCCATTCCGACAAAGCTGCTCCAAGCTATTGCTCCTACAGTAGCCGCAGCAGTCACACATGTGATCAACGCTTCACTGATATCCGGTACATTTCCCACCTCTCTCAAGCATGCTCAGGTTCAACCGCTGCTAAAAAAAAAAACATCTCTTCCTCCAAATTATGTGGAGAACTACCGACCTATCTCTCTCCTCCCTTTTCTGTCCAAAATCATTGAAAGGGTGGCTTTCAAGCAGATCGCAGAATACCTCTCATAAAACTGTCTGCTTGACCCTTACCAATCTGGGTTCAAAAAGGGCCACTCCACTGAAACTGCTCTGTTAGCAGTGACTGAATCCTTAAAAGAAGCTAGAGCAACAGGCAAATCCTCAGTGCTTATCCTGCTCGACTTATCGGCTGCATTTGACACTGTCAACCATGGCTTCCTTTTGTCCACACTCTTTAGCATGGGCATCACAGAGAAAGCACATGCCTGGTTTGAATCGTACCTCATAGGACGATCATCAGAATCAGAATGAATTTTATTGCCAGCGCTCTTTTCAGAGCGTAGGAACTTGACTCCATAGTACAACCTGACCAAGGTTACACACACACACATATAGACAAGACAGATACAGGCAGACCATGGGAGCAGCCATGACGGCGCTCCTTTGTAGATGAGTAAGGGAATACATGAGGGAAGTTCAGGGAGGGAGAAAAAAGGCATTAACAGGGTTACACCAGCAGGGTGTAGCGCTCCAATGCAAAAAAAAAAAACACCCGACATGTAAGCAACAAACGTCACAGTTCACAACATGAGACCCGGTAGGTAGGGGGTAGGGGCTGGGATCCTGGTTTCCTCAGCGGGGGCAGCCTGTGTGGCGCTCAACCAGCTGGCTCCGCAGGTGGGAGGGAGGTCATGGGGAAGCACAGAGAGCAGTGAGTCCTTAGCTTGATTACCTCGGTGGAGACCACAATCTGAAGGCGGGGGGGTGGGGGGGGGGGTGGGGGGGGGGGGGGGGTAGAGATTCACAGCATTTGTCTGCATTCCTTCCAGCGTGGGGTTTTTGCATGCAACTCCAAGGCTGCTTATGGCGTCAGATTCGATAACAGAACTTTGTTTGGGTCAGACAGAGATAATTTTTTCTCTCTGCCTTAAGTCTGTATTGATCATTCAAGTCCTCCAGTGAAGCCAATTCAGTGATTAAACATCTCCACACTGTCCGGTGACCCTTTCCGAGATGTTATCAATCCTGCGCGCTAACACCGGTAACGCAGCTAGGACATTGTCCAGCTTGCGATTCACCTCGAGCAACGTCCCAGTCTGTGAGGTATCCATACGGATATTCAGTGTATCTTGGCTTGAACAATCCTCTACTGTGCACCATCTTGCCACAGGAGTCCCCCAGGGCTCTGTACTAGGACCTCTTCTCTTTGCCATATAAACCACCTCACTGGGTGAGATCATTCGATCACATGGCTTCTCCTACCACTGCTATGCAGACGACACCCAGCTCTATCTGTCATTTCCACCGGACAACCACACTGTCTCTGCATGAATATCAAACTGTCTCTCTGACATATCAAAATGGATGAAATCCCACCATCTCCAACTCAACCTCTCTAAAACTGAACTACTTGTCATCCCAGCAAAATCATCCATACAGCACAATATCTCAATCCAAAATGACGTCCTATCTCTGGCTCCTTCAAATGCAGTTCGAAATCTGGGTGTTATGATTGATGAACACCTGACCTTTAAAGATCATGTTGCCTCTGTTGCTCGTTCATGCCGCTTTGCGCTGTAAAACATACGAGAGATCAGACCATACCTAACACAACATGCCACCCAGCTCCTGGTGCAATCTACTGTCATCTCCCGCCTCGATTACTGCAATGCTCTTCTAACTGGTCTTCCAGGCTGTACTGTGAGACCTCTTCAAATGGTCCAGAACGCAGCGGCGCGTCTGGTCTTCAATCAGCCAGAAAGAGCACACGTCACCCCTCTGTTCATTGAGCTCCACTGGCTACCGCTAGCAGCACGCATCAAATTCAAATTGCTAACACTAGCATACAAAGTCCGAGATGGTACGGCTCCCATCTACCTGAATCCTCTTGCAAAGGCTTACGTCTCAGCCCGGCTGCTCCGGTCATCACAGGATCGTCGGCTAGCAGTGCCTACACCATGCTCAGGACAATCCAGACTCTTCTCATGCATCGTTCCACAAATGTGGAATGACCTACCAAGCACTACCAGACAAGGGGTTTCCTTTTCAATTTTCAAGAAACTCCTGAAGACCCTGTTCTTCAGAGAGTATCTTCTAAACTAGCAACCTCCCTGCACCCGTCCCCCCTCTACTGTCCACTCCTTGTTCCCTCCTCTCCATGATTGATGTCAAGTTGTTGTTGTTGTTATTGTTGTTGTTAGCCTCAAGGGCAACATGCAGATTATCACTTGTAAGTCGCTTTGCACAAAAGCGTCTGCTAAATACATAAACATAAACAAAAGACTACGGCTGGTTTCCAACAGGGCCCTCCAAATTATTAATGCATGCATTAATGTTCTGAAAGACATTTTAATAGCTTTCATTAAACGGTGCATATTAATGATCTCTCTATGTTTTATTAGCTAATTAACAAGGAAGAGAGATGATTGATTTGGACATTTGACAGCTTAAATTGTTTTGAGTGTGTTCATCCTATTATTTATAATGATTGATCTGCTTTTGTCTGTCCTTAAGTTAGAACTGTCCGAGTGCAAATGAGCAGCAGGAGGGATTAACTGCTGAGTGACACCTCTTTCATTACCTCAGAGAAACCATGCGGATGGCGAGATCCCACTACATGTTTTCTAACATGGATACAGCTGACTGGGGAGATGTCTACAGACTCGTATGTGTGAGGAAAAACACTGGTCTACTTCCTCCTTACCGAGGAAAGTCCAGTCGCAGAAAGATTATAATAAAATACAAATCTGTTATACAAAAAGGACATTTTAAATCACTTTTGGGTGAGAAACATTTGAAACTTGACATCTTGTTGGAGGATGAAAGGAGAAAATCAGCTGCACTTAATGAATCTACTTCCAAGTACAACAGAAAACTAATAATAACAAACGTGTGGAACTGGTTGTGCATCAGGCTAATGACCAAAGGTGGCATGCATATTGTCTGTTTCTCTGCAAAAACACTCCCAGTTTGATTTAATGGATGATTAACAGGCTTCTGAAGAACTCAAGAACCTGTGATTGAATCATTGAATCAGGTGTCAACACATCACAGATGAAAGGAAATCAGGAAAACTGCTGAAATATTCAGGTCACTTGCCTTTCTAGACTAGATTTAAATCATCCTGGACTACAGGCGAAACATAAATAAATAAATGGAATATGGTGCAAAAGTTTGTTTATTTCAGTTATTCAATTTAAAATATGAAACTACCATAGGAGACAGCCTTATTACATGTCAAGTGAGATAATTCATGCCTTTATTTGTTATAACAGTGATGATTATGGCTTACAGCTGATGGAAATCTGACATTCAAAATCTCAGACAACTAGAATATAGTGAAATGGTTCAATATTCTAGACTCAAAGTGTCACATTCTAATCAGCTAATAAATCTAAACACCTGCAGAGGGTTCCTGAACCTTTAGACGGTTACTGAAATAAATAGACTTTTGCATCTTATTCCATTTCCCCCCAAGTTTCACCTGTATGAGTGTTTGCAAATCAACTTAAACCAACAGGATGCATCAAACTCTTACAAGGGTGACAGTTTCAAATAAAAGCAAGCTTACCAGTTTGTGGCAGTAATACAGTAATTTGTTTTGTGGCCCATGTCTGATGCTGTATCCAGGATCTTTTGCGTTTTTCAGTTAGTTTGGTCATCATTTCACGCTTGGCTGCTTCCTGATTTGGCTCTAGATATTCAAATCAATTTGAATGCCTGTGACGGACATTGGGTCAGGTTTGTTTCTCTCATAGACGTGCAGATTTTTGCGCTGAGTGACTAGACTTGGCAAAACTAGAAAATTTGGGTAAACGGTGGCAAATAATCATTTACCTGCAGCCAGTTACAGTTGTTACACCCACATCACCCCGCTTCTCCTCCAGCTTCACTGGCTGCCAGTCAACTTCAGGGTTCATTTCAAGATCCTGGTTCTGGTCTATAGGGCCTTACATGGACAAGCACCATCTTACATTGATGATCTTCTTAGTCCCTACACCCCCAGCAGGTCCCTGAGGTCCAGTGATCAAAGCCTACTGGTTGTGCAGCACCAGGCTAAAGACCAAAGGTGACAGATCATTTGCTGCTGTGGGTCCCAGACTCTGGACCTCTCTCCGCCTGAGCCTGAGATCAGTGGACTCAGTGGTCTCCTTTAAAAGCAGCTGAAGACTCACCTGTTCAAGCTGGCTTTGGTGTGACCTTCTTCACCCCCTCCTTATTCAGTTCCTTCTACTTATTCTGTCTTTCCCGTGATCCACTGACTTCTCTCTTTCCTATTCATTTTCTCTCTCTCTTTCCTTACATTGTTTTATTTTGATCACTATTTTAATTATTTTTCTTATCTTAAACATATTTTTAATCATTTTTGAAACCTTTTTTATACTTTAATTGTTATATATATATATATATATATATATATATATATATATATATATATATATATATATATAAGGAATAAAACATTTTTGAGCATCTCTTCATTGACCCCATGTTTGACCCCCACAAACTGACCTTGTATGGCAGGACGACAGCTGAGCCTCCACTGATCCCCACGATGGGAACGGCTGTCTGGGTGGATATGAAGTCCAAGATCTGTGCCACTGCTTCTGACCCGATGCTGTCCTCAAACACCATGCCGTGGACGCGGTTGGTGGAGAGGGTGTCACAGATGCGGGTGAGGAGAGCCCGTGGGTTTGTGTTGTTGACCAGCACCGTGATAGGGTTCACCTCTAGAGGCAGGTCCATGAAGTTTTCTCGACTGAGTCGCCCCTTTATTTCCGTCTGATAGGCCGGGCCGCTGAACACCACTGCCACGTTTACGGAGGGCGTGGGAAACCCGAAGGGCCGACCCAAACTGAATGGAATGGTGCAGAACAGCAGCAGCAGTGGTGGCGGCCACCATGGAGAGTCGCTCCAGCAGCCTGGACGAACATCCATCTCTGTCACCTACTGCCTAAAGGGGGTCAGAGTAGAGGAAGGTTTGTAAGTGAGTTAGAGAACGTCATGGTTCTTTCTGGAGTTGTGAACAGTCCTAGTATTGTCAACCCTTTTTTTTAACTTAGCTTGGAGTGCCGGTCCTTGAGCCTTATCGAAACTGCCTGTTAACAGAGTCCAAGAGGATGTTTTTGAAGTGTTTCCAGTTAAAATGGAGCTATTGCATCTCCGGGCAGCAGCTGTTGTTGGACTCAGCAGGCCAACAGGACAGATGGTGTCAAGTATTTAATGTAACAGCTGAAAAACACAAGCATTCAGAATTGTCCTCTCCTGACATTACTGTTAATGCTGTTCCTTAATGTTGGTGCTAACCCACTTTCTAAAGAGCAGATGTAGATGTTTGTGGCACCTTTGTTCAGAAGCAGTGACATAGCACCTTACTTTGTGAAAGCTCCTCATTATTTTGTACTCTAAAACAAAAACAATGGAGCTGTTTTTACTTTATTTCTATTAAAGGTGGGAACTGTAAGTTTTTATCAATGCCATTGCCAGTTCGGTCTTATCAATTCCTGAGTAGTTCAACAGGTGGCCAAAAATTAATAGCACTTGGTCTCCTGCATTATGACTCAGTTTAATAAGGATGGATAATCCATTGTACCGGGTGTTGTTTAGAAGGGTCTTTCTAAATGTTCTCCTTTATGCTCCTTGTGAAGGCGGAGTCATCTTTTTAGGTGTTGTGTTGCTGTTGTCGCTGGAGTCTGCTAATGTGGAGGTGTGTATGCAAGACAAATGATGCCAATGTGACAGGCCCGTTAGTTGGTTAGGTACCTGCAGCATTAACAAGAGGGACGTGTAAACTTCACCGCTGCTGCTGCGTTGGAGTCTGGAGCGGGTCAAAAACCCAACATTCACTTCTAGTTATCACAAATTTTGTGCACAAATGTTCTCATGAAGAAATCCCACCCCTGATTTCTATGCTTGTATCACCTCAACCTGTGACTGTTGAAGTGGATGTTTTAATGTTTTATGCTTGTTTTTCTTTTCTTTTCTCATCTTTATTTTAATGTTCCATGAAGCCATGTTTGTCGTTATGATGTGATTTTATCATTGTGTTCAGCACCTTGGGTTCTGATAAAGTCTGAAAGATCTTAAACTGAACTGAAGTGGGTAAAAGACAAGAATCTGTTGCGACGGTATAAGATGGCCGTTTTCCTCCGTATTCTTCTAGCTCGGTTATCTGGATGTTCTCACCGTCTCGTGTTGTGGCGGGAGTATCTGTTGGAACATTAAGGATAGAGGTATTTTTTATAAACTGGAAAAAAAAAATCCTTCAAAAATAACGTCCACAGAAGAACAGAGACGGTCTGCTGTGTTCCAGAGAGTGATGGGAGAACTTTGTGGCGTCGGTGGTTTATCCTGCACGCTGTAGCCAGACAGCAGTTTGTCTGGAGCTGTCAGACACAGTTAGGCTCTTTGTCAAATCTGTCACAGTAATGTTCACAGCTCTGAGGGAGTGCTGCACACTGGTCCCCTGTCACAGAGATCTGATCCAACATGTGATGGAATCCCAGTGGGGTGAATACATCGTAATCCCCTGGTAATCCCTACCAGGCGCCATGGCTTGCAGCTTGATTGTAGAGTATAAACTTAACAGCAAAGGGCAAAGTGTAGCTGTGTGTGACTCTACTTTTTGTTTGGTATGAACTCTTAGAAAGCAGTGAAAGCAGGACTGGTAGGCTAAAGGAGCGCGGTTGCTTGACAATACCTTATTTAAATATCGTATAACAGGATATGTTTTATGACATCATATCCTCCATTCCAGACATTATGCATGAGATCCTGTTACAGCATCTCACACAGGTCATTCTGTTTCATAGATCCTTATCTGCAGTTTTCAAATCTCCACAATGAGAAGACATGTTTTACATTATTTTCAGTGACATTCTTGTTGAATAAACAACAAATAAACTAAATTATAATACTATTTTTTATCAGACTATAAAAATACTTCAAGGCTCAGACGCTCCAGATGTTTCAGCTGAATCTGGATGCAAATTATGGTGCCCACCAAGGTTATAAACATTGTTATTAGCTTCTAACCTGTCTTAACTGCACTCTGTCACAGAGTTATCTTTTGTTGAGACTGTAAATTTAAAAAATGTGTTTCATATTACATCGTAGAGAGGATTTTACAAACAAATCTAAATGATTAAGGGGAAAAAGTATTACTAGGTGCACTCTAAGTCATAATAATTTGTGAAGAAGAAGCCATAAAGTATGAAGATAATAACTCCACAGCTGAATTCTGTTCTTTTCTGATTATTTCATCACAATCTGGAAATTCACACTTACTCCCAAAAGTCTTACTACATAAAACAAAGTTCCTATCATGATTGTAAGTAGGAATGCGCAGCATGTTGCTGAAATATCATCACAACATCAGTGTATGTATCAGACAAGAGCTAAAACATGCAGAGTCCTCCAGGACCAGGATTATCTTGTCCTGGTGAGAAGATAGTGGCCAGGACATCAAAATACACACGAGTTGTATCGTGTCTTTTCAGTTTAATGGCAGAGTCAATGAAATATGGATTTATCACAAATATGGATTTAATCACTGCAAAAATCAAGAATAATAACATTTTGTTTTCAGTGTTATTCAGCCACAGTCATGAGATGACCATTCCTTAGATGAAGTATAACTGCGGGCCTCCAACACGGGCTAATCTCAGAGGATTTAACAATCCTCCATCTGAATGTAACACAATGTTAAGGGTGAGGCTTTATTATTTAAGTCAGAGGTCACCAATCTGGTGCACATGGGCGCCATGATGCGCCCAGGAGACATAGAAGACGCCCACAGGCCGTTTTTCAAAATAGCACAAGTCTAAAAAAGTTCTGCTGCCATCTTTTGAAATCACAAATAGATTTAAAAAACTAGAATGTTTTTAAAAAACAGTTGAACTCAGATCTCAGAAAGCACTTTGAATTGCTTTTGTGTTTGAAATGTTTATGTTTATTTATTTGGCAGACGCTTTTATCCAAAGTGACTTACAATTTATAACCTGTAGGGCATGTTGTGATCTGTGGGGGGAACTGGAGTACCCGGAGGAAACCCACGCATGCATGGGGAGAACACGCAACTCCACGCAGAAAGGCCACAGCCGAGTTTCAAACCTGCAACCTTCGTGCTGCGAGGCTACAGTGCTAACCACTGCGCCACCATGCAGCCACATTTGTAAACGTGCTATACAAATAAAGCTGCCTTGCCTTCTAAAGATAGATGATAAATGACCCGCACGTGTATAGCACCTTTCAGAGTCAGAGGACTCCAAAGTGCTTCACACTACAGTGTATCATTCATCCATTCACACACACATTCACACACTGATGGTGATGAGCTACGATGTAGCCACAGCTGCCCTGGGGAGCACTGACAGAGGTGAGGCTGCCGAGCACAGGCGCCACCGGTCCCTCCGACCACCAGCAGCAGGCAAGGTGGGTTTAGTGTCTTGCCCAAGGACACAACAGCAGAATTTTCTGTCTGGAGCCATTTGGAGGTCACTATTGTATCAACCTGTAGCCCTGTGTGTGGCCCCCCGTGCTCCCAGCTTCACAAAGGTTGGTGACCCCTGATGTAAATGATATATTTTATAGTGATGAGAAATGAATGCGCCGAGATCCGTTTAGATTCACATAACTGTTTGTAATCCATATAGATGTAGACAGCACGCTCATTAGAGTTTTATACTTCAGATGAATCATTAAAACTGACAGAGTAAACTTGTGGTGTTCTGGTTTAATTATCATACTGATCTATTTCTCACAGCAAATGAAGGACTCAGGTTTCATTTTATCTTTTTATGTCTTAGCTCTAAAACCTGGCGGTTCTAACTGTAGTTAGTCGTGAGCACGAGAAAGATTGTTGCCGGTGACACGACGCAGCTACAAATTGGATTGAGTATGAGTCACTGTGCACCTGCTGACGCAAGGAGTGAAACCAATTACTCCCCAAACTCTCCGTTACTACTGACACATAACCCTGCTTGTGTGGCTCATTTGTAACTCTGCTTGCCATCAAGCAGCTCTGTATTTTTAGTTTCAGGCATCTGCTGATAGTCAAACGTTTCACCATTTCGTCAACATGTAGTAGCAGCTGGACTTGTGTCTGGAGTCACTTCACCTGTTTTTTTAAGGTTTTGTCAGAGAGCATGGTAGATACATACTTTTGTAAATGTCTGTGTCTACGTTTGTAAAGCTATGAAACAGTAGGTTTATGCTTAGACACTGATTTAGGAACAAAAGAGATAGTGGAAAAAAATCACAGAACAAAAAATAGAAGTTAATGACCTCTAACTCACATTTAAAGACTCGCTTCACCATGTTCCGCAGAGATCATTGTCTAACCTGATTTGTAACAAATAACTATGGATCTTTGCATAATCTTCAGTTTGCAGGTTACTCTCCCTGCAGGGCGGAGTAGGTCACTTTCAAGGTGAGTTTCATCTGAAAAACACGTTGATTCCATTTTCCTTGAAAAAATCTGATTTAGAATAAAGATAACAGATTTTTAACAAAGTAAATAATGATCAGAGAGAGAGAGAGAGAGAGAGAGAGAGAGAGAGAGAGAGAGAGAGAGAGAGAGAGAGAGAGAGAGAGAGAGAGAGAGAGAGAGAGAGAGAGAGAGAGAGAATTGTTGTATACGTGGTATAATTGTATAATTGGAGTCTTTTGCCTAATGCATGTAAATGGTAACTAATGTTGTTACGTATGCGTTGTGACCTTGGAGCAGGAAGGAGTCCTGAGCTGGCAGTGAGACGGTTAATCCTTATTTCCACATAACACACGTGCACCTAACAGCACTGCTTTGCCTTTGGTCTTATTGATCACAATGTAAGTTATGACTGACAACAGAATGCAGATCAGCAAGTTTACAGCGAGAATTAAATGTAAAACAGCACCAAGCTGCAGCATCAGCCTCTCTGCTAATCTGTTTTCTCTGCTCAGTTAATCTTTTAGACATTAAAGACGTGCTTAACCCCCTCTAGTGGATGACACGTGTTGGGAGCAGTTTCTCTACAGACTAAAACACCCAAACAAACAATGCAACAGGGATTAAATCAGAATAAAGGCAAGGTTTCATTACACACCATTCTCTTCATATTTTTCATCTCTATGCATTTTGACAACTCAAACGAGTAAATAATACACAAACACACATTCAGCTTTTACATCTTATCTGCTTTCATGAAAGGGAAATTGTTGATAAGGTAAATTGACTTGTCTCCAGTGATAAG